CGTGCCGATTGCTACCACCAGACTAGAAAGCGCTAATCTCTTTCGAGGGCACTAAGGCTTGATCTTCCGCTTGCAAGTGAACTTATTTGTTCTATTTTGCTGACTACTTGTTTTTCGCCGCAGCTCATCTTGCGGAGGTTAAACAAAGATGCTCAGTAGCTCAAAACAAATGCTATGCCTCACTCAGGACTCGATGCGGAATTTAGCTTGGCGTTGCTCAATATTTTTTATAGGCGATTCCTTACCCCATCCCCAACATGGGACACTGTAGAATCATCTATCTCCATAGGAGCTTATTATGGGTGGATTTGCCTGCTGTAGTGGATACGATGGCTATATACTCTTGAAAAGCGACGAATATTGAATACAGAACTATATTGATTACAATATTGAATACACGAATACAGAACTTGAAGATTACCACGAATTCAAAGAGGGAGTTAATGATCAGAAGGCAGCTCATTTAATATAAGGTAGAGATGGTTGGTAGTGCTGGTGAAGAAAAACCGTGGAAATGGTACAGAACCAAAAAATGGAACCCTTTCCTTGCATGTTGATTTCTGCATCGATGCGACTCTCATCGGTGCTGCCCTCTTCAATGCTATAGCGCCGCGGGGATGGTCCATGCCTAAGGGGGGTAGGCAAATCTTATGCGAATTGCACGTGGTCCGTACCCTTAGGGAGTTCGCCTTCTTTCCACTGAATAAGTTTCCCTTTCTTCTTTTCTTGTTCCTCTTTCGAAAAAAAAACAGTTTATAGTCGGGCAGCAGGTGGTCACCTTTTCCTTCACAAGTACACCATGCCTTGTGCCCCTTTTCAGAAGGATATTTGTGTGATTCAGATCATTTGAGCTGATTTGAATACTCAATGCTCAAAAAGTCTTCAAATTTCTAAAATATCGTAAGGTACCTTCATAGTCAAGTCACGCATGAGGCTGAATATTTTTCCTATAGCGCAACACCATTCCCATTGTTACCGTCACTGTGAAGCAAAGCTTGAGGAGAATCATTTCAAAGTCGTTTCTCATTGAGGTTCAGATTTAATACTATTACATGATGGTCAAATTCAGTAGAGAAGGGTGCGACTTAACCGCTGCATCCCTTGCAAAATGAATCGAAAGAGCGGAAATTTTCTGAACAAAACCAGAAAATCACTCGGAATGAGCCACCTGACCCAACCCGCGGTTGGGTCCCCTTTTGAACCGTGAAAATTCGTTCTCGCTCAAGCGGCGATCAAGTCTAATTCAAGACAAAAATAAAAGTTCTACACAGATAAGCAGGGAATTCCAAGCTTTCGAATTTGATAAAATAATCAGAAAGGCCGGGACCGGAACACGGAAGAAGCGGAAACTTCTCTAAGCAATGTAAAGAGTTCACCTTGGCATATTTTTTTATCACAGTTGTTATTCATGACAAGAACAAAGCTGTTGGTGGA